TATATATATATATATATATATATATATATATATATATATATATATATATATGTGTGTGTGTGTGTGTGTGTGTGTGTGGTTTTATTAGTTTTTTTTTCTTAATTCCTAATTCGGGATTAAAATATCCCAATCGGGATTGAACCAATTCCCGATCCCAATCCCGTATTTGTTTCTAATCCCGATCCCGAATCCCATAATCCCGAATTCCCGAAGTTTTAGTCCCAAATAGTAAAATTCCATTCGGGACGGGACGGGATCCCAAATCCCGATCCCAAAGTCCCAGCCCTACTTCTAACTCCTATCTTGTAAACCCATTATAAATTCAAATTTAGGACATTAAAACAATATACTAAATTCTTGCACATCAAAACAAAAGGTAGGGGCATTTATGACATTTTACCTATAGTTTGGGGGGTGGGGGTGTGAGCCAGTTGTTATGGCGGTTTGGGGGGTGGGGGGTTGTGGCCTCCCAAAAGGGCACATGTGAATGTGAGCATGGGCCAGCAAAGGGGGTCTAAAAATGGAAGAGAGAGATTGCAGAGAGAGAGATTAGTAGAGAGAGAAAGAAGAGAGAGAGAGAGAGAGAGAGAGAGAGAGAGAGAGAGAGAGTGCACATGGAGAGCACATGCAGATGGGAAAAGAGAGTAAGTTGTAGTACCTTAGAGCATGTGACAAAGGTTAGACAGTGAAGCAGCATCAATTGTACACCATGTTCTGCACATTCCCTGCATCCTAATCATCCTCTTTCTTGCCCTTTCCTTCATCCTTCCTTTCATTCACAACATAATTCATTATCCACTTAATTCTTTCATTAATTATTCATTCATTATTACCCATACAATAACAACTTATATATATTGCTATATATATAATTATAAATTGTTGTTATTATTAGTATTATACTTGTTTCTTTTTTATTACAAGAGAATGTTTTGGTTGAGTGTATCATCAATTCTTTTATAATTTGACCAAGGGTGGGAATTGGACGAACCGGATAGGAATTGTTACCAAATCAGAATTTTTTGGATCAAATCCGAAGAATTCGATTTTGTTTTTTATTTTTTTTATAAGACACTCTCTAAATTATGATATAAAAATTTGAGCCTGTTCGGCTAAGCTTATTTTAAATAGTTGAAAAGTTGATATGTCTTATTTTTACAATTAATTTTTAATGTGTTTGGATAATGAATTTATAAGCTAGTATAATTCATTATAAGATCTTAAATAAAAGGTGGGGTGAAAGTGACTATTTTCTGAAAAAGATCTTAAGAGCTCTTTAACAACTTGTTTTTGAATTTTTATGATCTTTTTAAGAAAAATTACGAAACACTTTAAAAAAAATTATAAGATGTTAGACATCTTATAAGTTTTTTTTAACAACTTATAAGCCCAGCCAAACATTCTCTTATCCGATAAGATGATATATTTAATCACAAAAGGTTGGAGTTTTAAACTAAACAAAGACATATTTTATAATGGGATTCAAATCCAAAAATTTAATTACATGTAACTTCTAAAGATTACGAAAATACAAAAGTAAATTTAAAAAGAAAACCATAGCCTCACCATTTTTTTTATCAACTCTAGTACTAATTAATAATGCAACAAATCACTATCAATAATGTCAAAATAGAGCTAAATCTCTATAAAGTAATAGAATTGAGTGAGATTAGCAAAATTTTATTAATTTAACAAATTATTAGTAATATATTTAATCAAATAATCAATATTTTGCAGCTAGCTATAGCCACCATGGTTCAAAACTTAGTTATGCCACGTGTTTGCATGACTAATGCACGTGGTTGCATTAACACAATTAAATATTAAGAACGTAATCGCAATAGTCAAACTTTGCCCAAAAGTTGTCTTTCCAACTCATTTCTCTCGGATCCACCATTAATTAAGGTTGCCCAATTAATTTCTTGATTCAATATTAAATTGTTAATCCCTTTTCCCATCACATATTGCTATATTATATTACTAAATAAATGTAAGAAAAAATAAATCCTAGATGAGTACTATATATGTACTTCACATAGTACTTCCTAGTTCTAACTCAAAAAATATTGTACTTGATTAAGCCGGTAAACATATGTAGAAATATTTAGTAACCACATTCTAAATACACTTAAGTCTCTATAAATTATTACAGTCGAGATTCTATTAATCTAGTGAAATATTAAACAACTAATAATGTAATACGTTTTACCGAGTCGAGATCGAGAGAAGTTATTATTTAAGTTAGGTTAGGTTATATTGTACGATGTAAAAATTTATATCAAGATTACATCATATGAAACTATATGTATACTAATTTTCTTAGGGATTTCGCTCTCAATCAAATCGCATCATTGACAATACGCCGATATAAGCGAGACAGGTCGTTGACAGTTTTGATAGTAACTAATATTTTTTTTCCCATGCGATGTACAGTATATTATCATTTCAAAATTGATAAAAAAAAAAAAATCTATACATGACAATAATAATTGTAATAAAAAAATAAACAAATTACAAAAATAGGAGATAATGGCCAAAAAATCGGAGCTAGATCTAGGATATAATATTCGGTCCTTGGTTTAGTAGTGGATTATGATTGAATAATAATCTGCTCGATTAGCTATGAAAGAAAAAGGCTAGATGATTAGGAGCCGAAAAATTGGAAATAAAATTATTTTAAATAATTACAAAAATACCATTAGAGTTTTTCTATTGCCCTATCGTTAATTCCTTTTATATATAAGATCAAATATACATAATTATATATATATTTTTAAATGTATGGGGGTGGAATAAGTGATGAAGCAGAGGGATAAGATATGATGAAAGGCAGGCAGAGATAATTGCATATGGGCCGATGTGAAATGACACACACACACACACACACAGTTACTCTCTTTTTCGGTTCAT